ACACAATGGAATACTATGCAACACTAAAGAATAATGTAGAATCTGCAAAACACCACATAACGTGGATGAACTTGGAGGACATCATGCTGAGTGAAATAAGTCAATCACAAAAGGACAAATATTGTATTAGTCCGTTACTGTAAAAGTCAAGGAAACGTTTATCTATGGAAGGAAATTTTCTTTGTTTGTTACCAGGGGTGGGAAGGGAGGGGAGAGAATGCTGTTAGATAGATAGAGATAAGTACTGATTTGGGTGATGAGAAGGGCAATGTACCAAATGTGAATAACCAATATGGTGGCAATGAGGAAGAGAAAGACATAGAGAGGTACATGGAAGGTAGAGACAACAAAGATGAATCCTTTTGCACATACAGTACTGCGTTGTCAGTGAAGGCAAACATGGATATACGGGTGGATAGATGGGTAGACAGGCTGAACTATTAGGTATGTCTATGAAGTGGGGAGTGTATCCAAGAACATGTTCAGGATTGGCAGACAATGGTCCTATAAGTTTATGTGAATGATCAGAATTCCCAGGTGTATAGTAGAGCTGATAAGGGGCAAGGTTGTGGTCACTGCTTGGTTACAGCCAGCTACCCAGTGGGACCAAGTAGTTGAACCTGTGGGTTTGGGACCATAGTCGCAGGGGACATCAAGCTCAATTGGCATAACATACTATACAAAACATTGTTCCACCTCCTACTTTGGCGAGTAGCAACTGGGATCTTAAAAGCTAGCAAACTGCCATCTAGGTGCAACAATGGGTCTCTCCTTGTCCAGAGCAAAGAATGAAGAAAACCAAAAAGCCATGGAAACAATTAGTCCCAGCGACTAGTACACCATCCGATCTGCAGCCTATACGACTATGAGACCAGAACTAGATGGTGCCCCACTACCACTGTCATCCACTTGGAAGGGGATCTATGTAGGAGATCCTTGACAGAGAGGGAGAACAATGTGGACAAAACTCAAAATCATTTGGAGAAAAAAAAAGGGGGGTGGGAACAGTT